TCTGTGGGGCACCCCAGCAAGGTGTGAAGCCTTTGGGCTGGGTGGGGTCAGTGCTGCTGGGCTGGAGAAGTCCATCCCTGACTCTGTGTGTTCTTCTTCCCCCTCAGGCACCGCAGGCAGCTGCTTCCTCAGGAAGATCCTTCGTGCAAGCAGCATCTCCCTCCACAGGTACAGTGCCGCACAGCTGGGTCCCTGTTTGCCACAGGGCCTGGGTGGCTGAGGTGGCTGCCTGGGGACCAGCAGGGCTCTGTGGGCACAGACACCGCTTTGCTTCCACCTAGAAAACTACCCAGACCCAGCTCCCTGCCTGCTCTGCCTCCAGCCCAACTCCTGTGCCTCGCTGTGGGTTTGCTGGGGATGCACAGCACGTGCCTTGCTGACCTGCCCTTGGTTCCCAGCCGTGCCCTTGCCCTGGCCCTGCGCTCTCCCTTGGTGTGGGGGAAGGAAGGGGTGAGCTGGCTCCACTCAGCACTTCCCACGGCACTCACCTGTGATCTGCCCACCCTGCCCCAGGCAGGGCTTGGAGCTGCTGGCCCTGCTGTCCTCATGACACTCTCCCTCCTCTTGCAGGGGCTATGTTGGCTACCAGGAAGGCTCTGGGGAGAATCCTGCCCACCCCAGCTCCTCTCGCCACAGTCAGTCGCAGCTGAGGAACGTGGCCTCTTCAGGTAAGCTTGCAGCCCTGTGCTGGGTGGAGGGTCCTGCACAGCAGCTGCTGCCCTGGGCAGTGTGAGATCAGCAAGAACTGGGTGCTGTCCCCTCCCTGCAGCCACCTTGTTGCAGTGGTTTGGGGTAAGCAGCTTCCCCAGCCCCCTGCCCTTTTTTTAAGCACTCTCCTCTTCCCAGGTGCCATCAAGAAGCACCAGAAGAGCCTGTCTGCGTGGTTCAGCCACCAGCCCAACGAGGAGCGGCAGTTCGGCCCTTCCTTCTCTCTGGATGCCGTCCACGTGGACCCAGTGATCCGGGAGAGCTCCCTGGAGGAGATCCTGAAGCCCTCCCCTGACCTGACCATCCAGGAGCAGCTCCAGCAGCCCTGCAGGCAGGTCATCAGCCTCCACAGCCTCTTCGATGTGGACGCCTGCGGGCGGCCGGTGAAGAACGTGGTGCTGTACGGCACCGTGGGCACGGGCAAGAGCACCCTCATCAAGAAGATGGTGGTGGACTGGTGCCACGGCCGCCTGCCCCGCTTCGAGCTGGTCATCCCCTTCTCCTGTGAGGACCTGTCCCACAGCCATGCCCCCATCTCCCTGCGCCGCCTCATAACCAAGAAGTACCAGCACCTCCGGGACGTGGTGCCCGTGCTGGGGGCTGCCAACCTCAAGGTGCTTTTCATCCTCAACGGCCTGGAGCGCCTCAACCTGGATTTCCGCCTGGCTGGCACGGAGCTGTGCTGTGACCCCAACGAGCCCGTGCCTCCCTCTGCCATCGTGGTCAACCTGCTGAGAAAATACCTGCTGCCCGAGGTCAGTGTCTCCCCCTCCAGCTCCTTTGTGCTGGAGGAAAGCTGGGTGTGGGCCCCGAGGCATCAGAGGCAGGGCTGTTGGGGTGATCACTTGTGGTGCAGCCTGGCTGGGAGCAAACAGGGAGGGGAGGGACTCGCCAGGGTGGCCTCACATTGCTGTTTCTGGGTGGTCTCTGTGGGAAATTTGGGGAGGCCTGGCGAGGCAGTGAAGGCAGTCTGCTGGGCTGTGGTCTTCCAGGCTCCACGTCGTGTCTAGCAGGGGATGGGGATAATTCTTGTGGCCCCTCCAGGCTCAGCCAGCCCTCTGGTTGCAGGCCAGCATCATCGTCACCACGCGCCCGTCGGCCGTGCGCCGCATCCCCGCCAAGTACGTGGGGCGCTACGCCGAGATCTGCGGCTTCTCCGACACCAACCTGCAGAAGCTCTACTTCCAGATGCGCCTCAGCCAGCCCAGCTGCAGCGGGGAGGGCAGCGGGGGCGGCAGCTCGGCCGAGCAGGAGAACCTGGTGGAGATGCTGTCCAGGAACTTGGAGCGCCACAACCAAATAACGGCCGCCTGCTTCCTGCCCTCCTACTGCTGGCTGGTGTGCACCACGCTGCACTTCCTCTACTTCACCAGGACGGTGCCTCCCACCCAGACCCTCACTGGCATCTACACCAGCTTCCTGAGGCTCAACTTCAGCGGGGAGGTGCTCGACAGCACCGACCCCACCAACATCTCCATGATGAAGTACGTGGCCAAGACAGTGGGCAAGCTGGCCTACGAGGGGGTGATGTCCCGCAAGACCTGCTTCTCGGAGGACGACCTGCAGCAGTGCTTTGAGGTGGAGATGAAGACCGAGAGCGAGCTCAACCTCCTGGAGGTTTTCCGCAGCGACGTCTTCCGCTTCTTCCTCAGCCCGTGCGTGCAGCCGGGCAAGGAGCACACCTTCGTGTTCACCATCCCCGCCATGCAGGAGTACCTGGCGGCCCTCTACGTGGTGCTGGGCGAGAAGAAGACCCTGGCGCAGAGGGTGGGCAAGGAGCTGTCGGAGGTCATCGGGAGGGTGAGCGAGGACGTGGCCGTGGTGGTGAACATCATCTCCAAGGTGCTGCCCCTGCGCTTCCTGCCCGTGCTCTTCAACCTGCTCAAGATCTTCCCCCGCTACTTCTCCCGGCTGAGCGGGAAGGAGCGGGACGCCATCGCCCACACCATGGCGGAGGAGCTGTTCAAGGAGGAGGACTACTACAACGATGATGTCCTGGACCAGATCAACTCCAGCATCCTGGGCGTGGAGGGCCCCATGCGCCACCCCGACGAGGCCCCCGACGACGAGGTCTTCGAGCTGTTCCCCATCTTCATGGGCGGGATCCTGTCCCGCCGGAACCGCGCCATCCTGGAGCAGCTGGGCTGCTCCATCAAGAACCTGGCGGCCTTCGAGATCGCCAAGGCCATGAAGAAGACGGTCATCAGGAAGAGCCACAAGGGGCTGCCCCCCTCAGAGCTGATGGACTACCTGTTCTTCCTGCACGAGTTCCAGAACGAGCGCTTCACGGCCGAGGCCGTGCGCTCCCTCCGCGCCGTCAACCTCGCCTCCATCAAGATGACCCCCCTCAAGTGCTCTGTGCTGGCCTCAGTCATGGGCACCACGTGCCACGAGGTGGAGGAGCTCAACCTGACCTCCTGCAACCTGGACAGCAGCAGCTTGAGGACCCTCTTCCCTGTCCTGCTGCGATGCAAGGCTCTCCAGTGAGTAGCACCTTCTCCTGCCCTTGGGCAGTGCCCGAAAACTGGGCTCTCCCTCAGCTCTGCCCATCACAGGGATGTACTGGGAGCCCAGGCATGGAAAAAGTAGGGCAGGGCGTGCCTGCCCTTGTTTATCTTCAGCGCAGACCTAGGGAACTACAGCTTCCAACATGCAGCGCTCCCTGAGCAGCCTTGCTAGGGCACGGCATGCTGGGATTTGAAGTCCCAGCACACCCTCCCGCAGGAATTTTTGGGCAGCTCCCAGCAGCTGGTACGGGCTGTGCTGCCAGCTGCCCTGGCAGACCTGAGTCCTTCCCTGGAGCCGCCTGTCATCCCCGTGTCGGTGTCTCTGGGAGGAGCTGGGCATCCCAAAGGCGGGAGTGTGAGCCCTGCAGGTGTTTCCACAGTTGTTCCAGAACGTTTGTGGAGCTGCAGGTCTTCCTGCCGCCCAGGTGGTGGCGAGACTTGCTCAGCAGAGTTGGACAGGGCTCTGCAGCTGGGCTGTGCCTCACTTCCTTCCTCCAGATGCTCAGGAGGGCTTGGAGGAGTCCTGATCCCTCCTCAGACCTTCACCCACCCTCAAGACCCCGCACCCCCTTCCCCTCCCCTGCTCCTGCTGGCTCTGGCTCCGCTGGCCCATGCTGCGCTGCGGGATCAGCGTGCTCCCTTTGGGAGAGGAAACCTCGCTTGGCCTGGTTTGGGGAGCCCAAGTAGGGCAGTGATGGGAAGGGCTGGGGGAGATGGAGAGGGCAGGGCTGCCAGGCCCACGGGTATCGGCCATTTGGGTCCTGCCACCCCCGTGTCTTGCTCTGCCCCAGCCTGCAGCTCAACAGCCTGGGCCCCGACGCCTGCCAGGAGATCCGTGACCTGCTCCTGCACGACAAGTGCGTGGTGAGCAGCCTGCGGTGAGTACTGCCCCCCTGTCCCCGCACGGCTCCGTCCCCGCTGCCCACCACGAGGCATTCCCCACGCCCCCCCCGTGTCCACAGGCTGGCCAACAACCCCGTGGGCGAGCAGGGGGCTCAGTTCTTGGCCGAGGCGCTGGCGGGGAACCGCTCTCTGACCCAGCTGTCCCTGCTGCACACGGCGCTGGGCGACGGCGGCGCCGAGGCCATCGCCCGGCACCTGGCCCAGAACCGGCACCTGCGGGAGCTCAACCTGGGCTACAACTCCCTGACGGACGCGGCCGCCCTGCGCGTGGTGGAGGTGGCCAAGAGGCACGAGGCGCTGGACAAAGTGCAGTGAGTTCGCTGTGTCCCCTCCCTTCCCTTCTGCGCCCCTGTCCTGCCCCTGTGCTCCCCCACCACCCTGACGGCGTCTCCCCCTCCCAGCCTGTACTTCAACGACATCAGCGAGGACGGCAAGCAGGCTCTGCACAGCCTGCGCATGGACCGCGACGGCGTCAGGGCTCTGGTGTTCCTCACGGCGGGCACCGACGTCTCCGACTACTGGTCCCACATCCTGAGCGTGGTGCAGAGGAACCTGCCCTTCTGGGACCGGGACAGGGTGAGGCAGCACCTCGCCCTCCTCCTGCAGGACCTGGAGAGCAGCCGCAGCCAGACCGCCAACCCCTGGAGGAAGGCCAAGTTCCTGCGGGTCGAGAGCGAGGTCAAGAAGATGCTGGGGAAGCTGCAGGACGGGACCCTCTGAGCTGCTGCCCCGTCCCCCGGCCAGGCAGGGAGTGGTGGAGGGTGTGCCCCGGCCCCCTGTGCGCCCTGATCCACATGGAGATACTCGGTGGATGGGTGCTGTCCAAGATGCTGGGTATGTGGGGCTCAGCCCTGAAGGCTGCAGTGTGGGAATGGGACAGAGACCGGGCCAGGAGCAAACGGGACTTGTTCTTCTGGGCTCGTGGAGACCCAGCCCCTGCAGCCCGGCCACAGCAGTGGCAGAGGGTGGGGCTCAGCCTTGTTTGTGAATCCTTAAGGGAGCATTAAAGTGCACCACTTTGTTTCTGAGACTCAGTCTCCTCTGCAGGCTCTTCCTGGGGAGGAATGTGGGAGCTGCTGGTGCAGCTGCCCCTCCAGCAGGTGGAGTGGAGGGCTCTGCCCCTTCTCCATCTCCCAGGGTGGGCACAGAGCCGACCACTTCTTGTGCCAGATGAGTTTGTCTTCCCCGCTGCGTGTTCCCCTGGAAGGCAGAACAGCAGGAGCTGGGTGTCCCAGGGGGCTGGTCCCTGCTCCAGCCCGGGCTGGCAGTGCCCTGGGGTTGGGAGGGCAGGGGAGACATCAAGGCTGTTTAACCATTAAACCTGGGGCGTCTTGGGAGAGGCGGGGACGCTTCCCTGCCACTTCACCCTGTACCTTGCTCCCTCCTGCATTCCCTGCAGCCATGAAGCAAACAGAAGGTACGTGCTGGGGGAGTGGGGCTGCATCCTGGGGAGACCCTTCCCCACACTCCTGTCTCCAGGCCCTGCTTCCACACCGAGCAAGAGGATGTCCGAGCCTGGGTGGGCCACGGGAAGGAACTGGAGGCAGGAAAATGCAGATGGACGCTGTGGGGATGCTGGGGAGGAATCCCTTCTCCCTGGTTTTGGGGTTCTTTGTGCTGGAGGAGATGGGGAGGGCTTTTATGGGGAGGTGTGCCAGGGAAGGCCTCTGTCTCCATCTCCTGGTGACCCTTCTCATCCTCGCTCAGCCCTGTCAAACCCCTAAGACTGGGCTCCATCTGCCTGGCCCTGCTTTGCCCCCCAGGATCCTGCTGGGCTGGGCAGCGAGTGACCTTAGGATCTGGGAATGCAAGAGGACAGTGGTGGTGGGGGCAAGGGATGAGCTGTGCCAGGGAACAGAGGGGCTTGGGGGGCTGTGTGGGCTTGGCAAACCCCCTCACCTGGCATGGCAGGCTCAGCCTGTGAAGGGACAAGCCCTGAGTGTCCCAGAGCATGGGGTCTGCTCCCAGCCCACCCCCTCCTGCGCTGACCTCTCCTCTCCCTCTGCAGGGCTCGGGGACAAGACATCCATCATGTAAGTCCTGAGCTCCCCTTGGCCAGGGGGATTTCTGGGGCCGGGCACATCTCAGCTGAGGTGGGGTGGGTCACGGCTGCCCTGCCCCAGCAAGCTCTTCCCTGAGTTGTTAGCTCAGGGAAGATGTGGAGGGTGATCCAAGAGGGAGATCCCCTCCTGGCTTTCCCCAGGGAAGAGGAGCTGTGGCTCAGCTGGCCCTTTCCTGGGAGGAGCAGACCCCCCCAAGGCAGGGGGAGACCATGATGCTGCACTAACCCTGGCCTCTCCTGCCACTTTATCATTTCAGAAAATTTGAATTTAACCCCAAAGATGGGATCGACAACCCTGCCCTGACACTGACTGAGGACACGGGTAAATAAACACCCTCATCTCCCAGGGTGTCCCTGTGTCTGTGGCACCTGGGCATTGCTGGGGCCCTGAGCTCCCTCTCACGCTGTGGGAGGTGAACAGATAAGGAGCCCCCAGCCCAGGATGGGGTAGGGAACTCGTGTGAGGACCCCCTGCTCACGGGCTGTGCCCCCACACAGATGCTGAGGCCGTGGGGGAGCCCCGTTTCTACCTGCTGAGCAAGGACAGCATGGAGACCTTCGGGTTCTGCCTGCACGAGGAGCGGGGCTGCCAGGGACACATCGTGCGGCAGATTGAGCTGGGGGGGGTGGCCCAGCGCAGGGGGCTGCAGGACGGGGACAGGCTCCTCCAGGTCAATGGCCACTTCGTGGACCACATGGACCACATGAGGGTAAGATGGGAGCCCCCCGGGGCCGGTGGCACGCCCCTGATCCCACCCCATCCCAGGGATTCACAGCCTGGCTGCTTCCAGGTGGTGCGGAGGATCAAGGCCAGCGGGAACCAGGTCCTGCTGGCGGTGCTGGATGGTGATTCCTACGAAGCTGCCAAAGCCCTGGGCAGGGACCTGTCCCAGATGCTGCCCCCTGACATCCGCCCGCGCCTCTGCCACGTCACCAGGGACAAGAGCGGGTTTGGCTTCACTGTGTCGGGGCCAGAAGGTAAAATGGGCAGTGGGGATGCTGGCACTGGGAGCACCCCAGCATGTAGCCTCTGTCCCTGTCTGGCACTGTCACTGCTGCCCCACCACGTGCCTGGGTATCCCCTGAGCTCCTGGGTGCACAGGCTGGCGAATAACCCCAGATCCCCTCCCTGCAGGCACCAAGGGCACCTTCCAGCTGTCAGTGAGGCAGGATGGGCCAGCGGACAGGGCAGGGGTGCCAGCAGGCTCCTGGCTCCTGGAGCTCAACGGGGACAGCGTGAAGAGCTACTCACACACTCAGCTCACCAGAAAGGTGCCTGTTCCCGGCGTGGGTGGGTGAGGGAAGGGGCTGGGGACATCCCTGGGGGCATCACCGAGCGCCCTGCGCTTCCCACGCAGCTTAAGCAGAGCGGCAACAAGGTGACCCTGCTGGTGGCATCCAGCGCCGTGGAGGAGTTTTACCGCCTGCGGGGCCTGCGGGTCACGGCCGCCCTGGCAGACCCCGCCTGGCTGCCCTTCAAGGCCCGGGAGCTGCACCTGGAGAAGGGCCCGGCTGGCTACGGGTTTCTGCTCAAGGAGGACGACTGCATCTCGGGGGGCATAGGTGAGGGGGCTGAGGGGGGGGGCTGTGCCTAAAGAGCTGCCAGCCCCGTGCCCACCTGCACTCGGGGCTCAGCGGTGCCAGTTCCCCTCTGGCAGCACCTTCCCTGTGCCCTCACCATGCCAGGCCAGTTCCTGTGGGAGGTGGATGAGGGGCTGCCAGCCGAGCAGGCAGGGATGAAGGAAGGGGACCGTGTCCTGGCGGTGAACGGCGAGAGCATCGAGGGGCTGGACCACGAGCAGACGGTGCTCAGGATCCGTGCCCACGAGGAGCGGGTGACGCTGCTGGTCATCGACCCTGCTGGCGACGAGTTCTACCACTCGGTAGGTTTTGGGGACCCGGCGTGGTCCTGCCCTGGCTGGGGAGCCCTGGGGTGCTGTGGGTGATGTCCTCTGGCTGTGCAGCCCCAGGAGCTGCACGTCCATCCCTGCTCTGCTCTTCCAGATCGGGCTGTCCCCTCTGCAGTTCTTCGAGGACAGTGACCCCGCCTCGGGCTCCTGCACACCCTCTCTCAGTGGCTCCCCTGGCCCCTGTCACGTTGAGGTGGCACCAAAGGGACCTGTCTCCTGGCTGGTGGCTGCTGCCAACAGCATAGAGCTTGTACAGGTAATTCCTCTCACTGGGAATGCTGCTCACAGCTGGGTGGTGCTCTGATCCCCGCCACCCTCCTGCTCTGCCCATCCGAATATTCCCCTGGCACCTGTGGTGCTGGCAGGAGGAGGCTGTGTGGTCCCCTGGCCACAGGGGCCAGGCAGAAAGATGCCTCCAGCTTGCCCATGGGGCGAGGGGTGAGTGTGATGGGTGGGTGTGTGTGTGGTGCCACAATGCCCCCGCCGTGTCCCCGCAGAGCCCGCGCCGGGAGGAGCAGAAGAGGCTGTGTCAGTCCTTTTAGTGGCCCAGGAGCCTCTGGAAAGGCTTTCCCACACAGCACCTCCACCCAGGCCATGTCCAGCCCCTCAGACCACAGCATGGACCTTGCACACACGGCTCCTGTGTCTCGGTGCCCGTGACGGGGCTCACAGCATCCCACCTCCCACAGATGATGGATATGGCTCCCAGCTTTTGCTGGCCATGGTGGCAGCTCCTTGTAGCCTGAAGACAGACCTGTGTCTTTGCCAGCCTAGCTGCCTCCAGGGATTTCTCAGGACACTTCCCCAAAACCCTTTCCCAGCTCCAGGCTCTGGGAATTCTCAGGAGAGCCGAGGCACTGCCCTCCCTGCCATGGCCCGGGGCACTGGGGACCTCGAGGCTCGGCTCAGGGCTGACCTTCAGGCTGCTGTGTGAAGAGGGAAAGGAGTAGTGGAGGCCAACGGGGTGCTGGAGGAACCTCCCACCTCTCCAATCTGCCTGTGCATGGACATTTCTTGTGCTCCTCTCACCCTCCCTGTGAACCTGTGGGCAGTGAGTGCCCACCACCCAGCACGGCACTGTTCCTGCACTGCTCCTGCATGCCCCGTTTGGGGTGTGATTAAAGGACAAATCCACACTGGATAGTGCTGTGGAGAGGACTGTGATTTGACAGGACCCATCTTCTCTCACCGAAGCAACCCAGGGGATGGGCAGTGGATGTGGGAAGCTCTCCAGCTGTCCTGACAGGGAGGTAAGGGCTGAGAGCCACCCTGGGAGCCCCAGGGCGCTGCATCTCCAGGGTTTTGAGGCCAGACTCCTGTAGGCACTCCTGTTCTCCGTGGCAATGGTCCTTCCTGAGGGTTCCCCTTGCAGGTGATGCATCAGGAACATCCATTCATGCACACAGTGCTGGGGCAGGAGGGATCCCAGGAGGGGGGAGTTCCACCTCTCAGTCAAGCAGGGATCCCAGGAGAGGGGAGTTCCACCTCTCTGCTAAGCGTGGGAGAGTGAAAACCAGCAGGGAGTTTTGCATGTGGCCAAGACCGCAAACCTCTGGCTGAGGTTTTACCTCTGCTAAAACCGGGCCCTGCTCGAGCTGAGCGGAAACGGGGGCGATGGCAGGGAAGTCTCTGTGCCTCTGTGGTGTCCTCTGAGCTCAGTGCAGGCCTCTGGGGTGGGAGGAGTCCGTGCCCAGAGCCTTTGGGGTGCTGACAGCACGGGAGGGAGCATGGCAGGGTCCAAGGCACTCAAGGGAGGGGTGGGATAAACTTGGCTGGCTGTCCCCAGCGGCACCCAGGTGTGGGGTCCCTGCATCTGCCCCGCTGCACCCTCCCAGCAGGAGGACAATCCCAAGCAAAAGCAACCTTTGCTTGAAGTCTCACGGCCCTGACTTAGAAGTGAATCATGCCCAGAGAAGCAGATAGTCAGGAATGCAATTGCTCAAGCACGTTCCCTGATCTCTTTGGCTCGGAGCCATGGCGATTTTTGTAATTTGGCTCTAACAAAGCTGGTGTTGCCCTCCCCAGCTCTCTTCCCCAGGTACTTGTGGTATCCTGGGGCTGGCCAGGGCACCCGCTGGTGGTCAATCCGGCTTGACTGTTAGCCAGAATCCATTAGCACCTAATGGGAAAAGCCTCAGGAACACGGCCTCAACAAACGTTGACATATTTGAGGTCAATATAATCCTTAGGAAAATTTGCCCAGGTAATTAAAGCCAGACAAGGAGTTGCCTGTCCCAGAAATATTTTACCGAGCTTTACCAAAGGCAATAAAATAAAAGATGGAAGGGTTTTATAACCAATCCATGCCAGGCTCCCTTGTTGTATGTCCAAGCTCCAAGCCTGAGTTTAGGGTCCCCATGCTCCCCAAACTGCAGCACTCGCTGTTTCCCTTGGCCCCTTCCCCTCTCTCAGTCCCTGTGGTGAGGCTGAGGCCGCTCAGCACCAACCGCAGAGGGTTTTTCGCAGAGGATGCCTGGAAGAGGAGATGAAAAGAGGATCTGAAGGCAGCAAAGAAACAGAACTGAACCAGGTTTCGAGGGCGTGTTGTAATTTTTTTGAGAGTTTGGTGTTGAGAGCTCTGACAAACCCACTCCCCACTCTGCTTTTCACTCCCTGATCCCCTTTTCTGTCCCTGGTTGCCTTTTCTGTCCCTGGTCCCCTTTTTCTCTCCCTGGTCCCTTTTCACTCCCTGTCCCTCTAGCTACTCTCAGTGTCCTGATCCTGCTCCCGGGGGTTGCTGGTGCCAGGGATGCATCCTCGTGTGGGCTCTGCCTTTCCCTGCTCTTCATCCCATCCCATCCCATCCCATCCCATCCCATCCCATCCCATCCCATCCCATCCCATCCCATCCCATCCCATCCCATGGGATGCCGGTTCAGCCAGGCGCGGCTGGTCCCGCTCCGCCCCCCCTCGCACATCCCGCTTCCCCGCGTCCGGGCGCGTTCTTAGAAAAAGGAAGGCGGCTTCTGGAGAAAGGGGAAGCGCCCCTGTTTCGCAAGCGGGAAGAGAAGGGAAGGGATGCAAAGGCTCCATCCCAGGGGGAAGGAGGGGGGGGCGGCGGGACCGGCGCGGCCCCCGCGTTGCCATGGCGACCGCGCCCCGCCCCGCCCCGCCCTCACCCGCCATGGCGGCCGCGCCGCCCTCACCGCGCCGCACCGCGCGTGTCCCCTTCCCCTCGACCAATCACCGCCCGCTCCGCCCCGGCCTGGGGGGCGTTCCCGAGCGCGCGGGGCGGTGCTCGACCAATGGGCGGCGGGGAGGAGGGCGGGGCCTCGGCCGGGACCGGGCGCCGCCACCGCCCACGGCCGCCACCGCCGCCCTGCCCGGCCCGGCCCGGCCCCGGCGCCCTCCGCTCCGGCCCCTGCAGGGCCCCCCCGGCGCGGGGGGCCGAGCGCGGGTGTCCCCCATGGCGGCGCCGCTGAAGAAAGGCCCCGGCGGGCTGATCGGGCTGATGAAGGACGCGTTCCAGCCCCACCACCACCACCTCGGGCCGCACCAGCCCGGCGCCGTGGACAAGAAGATGGTGGAGAAGTGCTGGAAGCTCATGGATAAGGTGTGTGGGTCTGGGATGAGCCTGGAGTTCGGGGAGAGAGGGGTTTGGGGCCGGGAGGGGAGATTTGGGGGGGTCAGGGGTGTGCGGGCTCAGGGTGCTCTGGGGGGAGAAGGATGCGGGGAGCTTAGGGTGGCAGGACACGGGGAATGGTTCACACTGACAGAGAGGAGGTTTAAACGGGGTATGGGGAAGAAATTCCTCCCTGGGAGGGTGGGGAGGCCCTGGAATGGCTTTCCCAGAGAAGCAGTGGCTGCCTCGTCCCTGGAAGTGTTTCAAACCAGGCTGGACTTGGTTTGGAGCAGCCTGGGGTCTGCTGGAAGGTGCCCCTGCCCGTGGCAGGGGGTGGAACGAGATGAGCTTTAAGGTCCCAAACCATTCGGTGATTCCACGTGGGAGCTGATGGAGAGGTGAGGAGTGGGATGCCAAGGTGGGAAGGAGATCAGCAGCTCTGCGAGGGATGGGCTGTGGGGGGAGCAGGTTGGAGGAAAAGGGGGTGATTTGGGATGGGGGGGGGGATGCAGACCTGCTCAAGGGGGTTTGTACTTCCCCAGGGCTCCCAGAGCTCCGGGAGCGTTTGGACGGCGATCTCAGGCACAGGGTGGGATTGTTGGGGTGTCCTGTGCAGGGCCAGGGGTTGGACTGATTGCTCCTCATGGGTATCCCATGATAATCCTGTAGGTGCTGGGCTGGGCACTGGTGGTGCTGGGAATGGGTAGGACCTGGTGGGGAGCTGCAGGTGGTGTCAGCAGCGGGTCCTGCCTGCGTGTGACTGCACAAGGGAGAAATCCCGGGATTTGCTGTTTGGAAGGTGAGCCTGGGCCTGTGGCAGAGCCTGGGTGGTGGAGCTGAGCACCTGCTTTGTGACAGGTCAGGTTGTTCTTTCCTGAATGAACAGGGACACGTTGCTGAGCTCAGGGCAAACCCCCTCCCTTAAAACTGGGAAGTAAGATATAAAATAAACCCTCTGCGGTAAATACACGTAGTTACACAGACACAAGGAGCAGGAAATATAATCAACGAAAAACTTGTGGTGTGGGAGTGGGAAAGGCCTTTTTTTCCAGGCCCACACCTTTAGGAGGGGCACGGCTCTCTGGGGTCATTAAGCCTCTCCCCTCCTCCTCCTCCTTTTAAAACAGCCAGGAAATGGCTGTTGCCGGGGGCAGGACACCAGACCTTTTGGCCTGGTGGTGTGATGGGATGTGGCATTTGGTTTACTGGCCTGGCTAGGTGTGCTGGTAAAGCCAGTGTTTTAGGAAATCCTGGTGAGATCCCAGCGAGCGAGTGTGGGCGCACAGGAGTGGGCACGGAGTAAAAATGTAACAGTTTGGGTGGGATTTTGGTTGATCCTCTGATGTTGTTACTGTGCAGCTCTGAGACCAAGGCTGGGCTTGAAAGGTTGCAGTGTGTTTTATGGCACTGGGTTCAGAGCAAGACTCACCCCCAGTCCTTGGGGAGTGTCACCTGGCCACCTTCTTCCCAGCAGGCAGGGCTGATGGGATCCCTCATCCGACTGCCCTGCAGGCTTGTGCATTTCCACTTTTCCCTCTCTTCTCCCTGCCTTGTTTATCCCTGCAGTGTCTGAGCCTCCTGCAGCAAGTGCTAAAAGCAGGCAGAGCAAATGACTTCTTTAAAGACCGTATTAAATTATATTCATGCCAGGAGATCACTTTGTGTTGGCTGGCTCCACAAAGGACATGGTTTATAGTTGTGCCTTGCTGTGGCTGTGACGAGCTTTGATCACCTACAGCGAGACTGGGATGAAGAAAAAAAAAAGCCCTTTGAGAAGTGCCATTGAGGGCAAGCACAGGTGATAATGTGGGAAAGGGAGTTTGAGCATGGAAACGGGGGTCCTGAGTGGGTTTGACTTGCACATGCAACTTGTGAGAACGTTGTATTTGTCACCGGTTAAACCAACCTCTTTGAAACGTCCACTGACTCCAGTTGTACTCGTGGGCAGCCTCCAAAAGCCCTCAGAGGGAGGCTTAAAGTCTTAAAGAGTTAGTTGTTCAGTGTGATTTGTGCAGGAGGAAAGATTTGGCTGTGAAAAGCCTTTCAGACTGCAGTCAGGCTTCAGCTGTACTCGGGCACACTCAGAACACCTCTGGATT